TGAAGCTATCAAACATTACAACAACAAAAATGTAATCGTTCTAACTTGCTGGCTGCCCATTTTGTATTTTTTATCGTGTTCTTTTATCATGTGAAAAAGAATATGTCTATCCATCTTCTATAAATGTTTCTTTTGTATGGATAGGGAACTAATTTTGAAGTTGTAGACATTGTGAAGGCTAATCATGCGGGGTGCTGTGGCTCAATGTATTACATCACATTTAATGTGAAGCCGATTGGAACTTCGGCAGAATTTTCCTCGATAACCTTCCAAGCTAAAGTTTATTATGCTATTCCTATAAAAGATATTATAGAAGTTGAACTTTGCAGGCCAAAGCCCTCTAATTAGCAAGAGATAAGCTAGTCATTACAAGCTTTTTAACCTAATATTTTGTTTCGTTATGAGGTCACTTTGTACTGTTACATATTTTTTTTTTTTTATTTTATTGGTGTTATGTTTGAAATTTGTATGGTTTTTTCAGCACAAATATGTGCAACATATCACTTTTAATACTAAAATAAATTTACTATTCATATGAAAGCATATAAATTTACTATTCATATGAAAGCATATTTTAATATAGAAGCATATCTGCTTTATGTCATTGATTCATTCTTTTATGACCTCTATTTTCTCCCTCCCAAATTCTTAATTATTCAATATTTTTTATTTTTCTCATATTTTTAATTATTTAATATTTTTTTATTAATATTATCTTTTTTTTTTGGTTCTTGCCTCTACTAATATATATCTTTAAAAAAAATTAATATACATCTTTAAAAAAAATAATAATATACATCTTTAAAAAAAAAATTAATTCTTAATTTAACTTTAAACTATAAAAATCTATGAAGGTGTGATATATAAGATTTGTAACCATATATCCTTATGGATCATTGTTTTTGGGCTTAGACATTTATTTTTATTTCTGTCAACCACAGTTGCAACTTAGACATTTATTTTTATTTTTATTTCTGTCAACAATTGCAACTGGTAGGATTATTAAGCTGCATAAGAGTGTAAGTTTGACTTTGTTGTACTGATCTGAGTTTTTTCGAAAAATGTTCTTTAATTATTCTAAATCCCACTCCAAAAAGTCGATTAGCCACCACTCCAAAAAGAGGATACGCTACCCGCTAAAAGATATTATAGAAGTTAACTTTGCAGGCCAAAGTCCTCTAATTAGCGAGAGATAAGCTAGTCATTACTTTTTATCATAATATTTTGTTTCGTTATGAGGTCACTTTGTACTGTTACATACTTTTTTTTTATTTTTTATTTTATGATGGATATAATATACAAACGAACTAAGACAATTTAATTTTCCTGTTCTACACATTGTGGAAGAGGAGTGAATCCTCATAAGCCATTTGGGTAATAAGCATTGCAGTATTATACAGAAATGGTGGAATTCTGTCCCACTCCAAAAAGTCGATTAGCCACCACTCCAAAAAGAGGATACGCTACCCGCTAAAGTATTCCCCATCTTTTCATTCTCTACGAGGGTCGATAACTCTCCGGTGTGTTATTCAAATTATCATCCAATGGAAGGGTGAGACATGGAGATTACATAGTCTACTTAATGGAGTTATTAGTGTTACTGAATTTCTTGTAAAAAAACATTCATAAATTAGAATAAATGTATTAAAAATAATTTGTTGGGTGATGCTCATACACATGATTGAATTAGAATTTGAAATTGACCTCGATATATTCTTATTACCTTACCTATTTGTTGCTTTAAAGAGAGAACTATTATCACATGTACTATTATCACCACATGTATTTGTAGAGAGGAGGACATCCAATCAAATGACAAATAATAATTTAAAATAATTTGATTTGATGTGCAGCAATATTATTTCACACCTGTGATGGTTGGATATGTGTATGTTGTTGAAATATAGTTAATTTTACGTCTCTTCGTGTTCGTTTAATCTCATCGAATCAATAACTAACAAAAGTTTTGTACGAGAGTTCAATTTTTATATATTTTTAACCCAAAAAAAAAATAATAATAAATAAATAAATAAATAAATAAATAAATAAATAAATAAATATATATATATATATATATATATATATATATATATATATATATATATTAACCATTTTGCTTATAAAAAGAAACCGAATGTAATCAATTTCATAGAAGATATTAATGTTTGTAAAAAAAACCTCCCTATTACATTGTTGTTTGTAACAACATTCTTTTTATGTCTCTCCTAATTAAACCAAAGACTTTTTTTTTTTATTATTGGATACCATAATTTATCTAACAAATACACGGGGCCTATTCGAGTATTAATGACATCTTGACTCACTTTTCCATAACCTCTATCTCCCCATGCTTCTCCTTTTTTCCGTGGTTATCTTTTCCATAACCAACGATCAGAATAGCATGCCAAAGAAGAGCGTTGATGTCTCCATTTAACAGTTCAGTACCATAATATATTTCCTACAACAAAAAAAGAATGTTAAATTAACTAAAATATATAATATTTTATTTATTAAAAAAAATTAGGTTACTTACATTTCTCATACATTTTAACTCGTCAGTCACTCTTATACCACCAGTTATGGGTTGATTCTCTATTTTTGAAGATAGGTTTTCAATATTTACCTTCTCATATTCTTTAATCTTGATCAATTGCTACCATTAATAAAATACATCATCAGTTACACCATATGAAAAAATAAATGAAAAAAATATTAAATTAATGAGTTTTAAAAGAAATCTTACTGGGGTGATTTTTTTGCAATTTCGTCTCTGAGCATTAAATTTGTAATCTTTTTTCTTAGCAATTCCTTGGTTAGATATGATCCACTCAAAAGCTTTTCTTGGTGATGAGGTATAACATTGTTTTGGAGCTATATTTTTTGGATTAAGATTAAGACAATCTATAAGATGTTGGGGTGAAGCTTGGAGGATATTTTTGTATTCACCCTTGTAAACAATATTGTAGAGTGATTCAATAGCGCGAGCAGCTACTATAGCCCAACAACAGTCTAAAAGAAAAAAAAAATTAATTATAAATCCTAATGTAAATATAAAAATAAATGGGTAATAAAAGAATAAAATACAAAATAAATCTTAATATAAATATGAAAATATATACGTAATAAAAGAATAACTAATACTTACTACATTCTCCTTGATCTCGAACTGGAGTGAGAACGTTATGGTAACGCCAATCAAAATATTCTTCCTGCCATTTTAAATATAGATGAAGTAAAATTGTAGTTAAATGTACTCATTTTCATAAATTCATTAATTTGATAATGAGTATGTTTTAATCTGTAACTCATCCATAATAGATTCTGCAGAATTTAAAAAAAATGGTTAGACTACAATTATTTAAAAAATAATATATTAACAATTAATCTCAACAATAATATAGTTTAGCCGATTGTTCTAATGATATGATCAAATAAAAAAATAATGAAAGTTCATGTCTCATAATAGAAAAGAAAAAATCTATCTTATTTTGTTCTACCTTCATCTAAGTCAACTGCCAAAAATATATAAATGAGTCATATATATGGACTAAAATATTTACAAATATGATTTTGGATCCAACTTCAGTCTCTAACGGAATAAATAATAACAGAATTTAAGTTCTATTCCCATTTAATGTCCACTTTTATTTTTAGAATTTGATTTTTAGGCTCAACTATAATAACAAGAAAAGAAAATAAAAAATTAAAAGGAAAGAAAAAACAGAGCTCATGCAAGAACAAGGAGCAAGAAAAGAGAAGAGAAGAAAAAATGAAAAGAAAAAACAGAGAAAAGGAATGGCGTACCTTGAGCTTATGCAAGAACAAGAAGAGACCTGTGGCAAAGAGAGGAAAAAAAAAAGAATGAGTGACGAGATGAAACGAAGAGGGAAGGAAATCCGTCACTGTTTTTCTATCTTTTTCTATCATTTCCCTCTTTTTCTTCCCGATGGTCGGAGCCACCCTCTCCTACAGCCCCCGCCTCGTTATTAGATGCAATGCTCATCTGCCAATTTTTTTCTCCTACCGCTAACTGAAGTAAAATGGAGAAAAACAGAAAAGAGGAAGGAGGAGGAAGAAGTATGAATTAAAATGAGCAAAAAGGAAGAAGACTAACCTGATCGGAAGCAATTTGGAAAAGGAAAGATAAGTGATGGTGTGAGAGGCAAGGGATATAATATGGGGAAGAGGAGATAGCAAGTCACTATTACGGTTACAACCGACTGGCAGAGCAAGGGAATGTGGAAAAGAATACGGTTATAACGGGGAGGAGAGAGCAAGTGACTGTTGTATTTTGATTCTCTCTCTCACAAACCACCTTCATGACATTCCGCATATATTTGATCTGTCAAGAAATTGAAGGAATCTGGTCAACAACAGGATATAATGCCGTGGAACGTCCTCTTCAGTTTGCTCAAACTGCAGCTGTTTTAGAGGTATTCCCTGATCGTTTCTGGTTTATGAGCTGATTATCATGATACAGCCTCTCCATGGCCTCCTTGGCAAGCTATATTTGATCCGCTTACAAATTTTGGTGTCGAAGATTTTCTTTCTTGCCCTGATTTTATCTTAGAAACGAAGCTGAATCTAGGTTTTGGTTTTTGCCTAATTAGGGCTTGTGAGATCCCCTGTAACAGCAACCTTACCACAGATGGGTTCTAGATTGTATTTGACTTGGGGCATCTTATGGAGTTTCCCTGAGGTTCAAACCCTTCTTTTTCATTCAATTAGCCATAAATTAGTGTTTATGTTTGTAATTTTAATTCATAAAACTGATTACTTCTTGGGTCTGGCAAGTTAGGAATCATGTACTTGTTTCCTCCTTGGTCATCAGCTGGTCTATCGCAGAGGCAAGTTCTTTTTTTGACTGGAAACCTTAATTACAAACTTAATTTACTATAAGAGATGATCCAAGATTCTTTTTACAATGAATCTATGCCTATCGGCTTTATGTGTAACTCCAATGCTTGATGATTCACTCTTACGAATTCAATCCCAAACCGATCTTGGGCATGCTGTGTAGTTCCATTAGGAAGTTTGTCATCATTTCAAATTGCAGCAAATGATCGTAATGAGTTGCTTCCAGGAATCTGGGAAGTATTCTTTTAGCATGCCAAACGAATGGAACTTTTCTTTCGATTACCTCTATGGAGCGATGCTTATTCTTGCATTCTACGTGCCAGGTTCGAGTGGTTCAAGTTCTTGCTGCTTTTCTTTTGCTTCTGTTTTTCTATTTGCTCCTTTTGGTAATACAAAAACTGTGTCCGGCAGGAAGTCCACATATGTACCGCTGCATGCTTGTTCAGAGGTCAAAAGCTCTCTCAAAATCCAAAAAAGAGTACAAAAAAAAGAAGGTTAATGTTATTCTCCCATTCAGTTCGTCTTAATTCAGTGTACTTTACGAATATTTATCCCTAATTTTCATTTATTGTGTTGTTCTATTTATGGTTTTCTCTTTCTTATTGATATTCATTTAGGAATGTTTTCCACATTTTATTTAATCATCTTATATTATTTTATGTTATGAAAGAAGATGGAGCTGTTGAAGAAGTGGCAGCCCAGATTACCCACAAAATAAGAGTTGGTGGAATACTTGATAAGGTGGAAAAGCCTCCTAACCAAAGAGATCAGTTTAGAGGGTGAAGAAGACGTAGAGGTTGATCTGATTGAAGGCATCAATCAACGAGAAATTCAACTAACTCTATCTCCCCATGCTTCTCCCCACGAATTTTTAATGATCCAATATTTTTTTTCCGTGGTTATCTTTTCCATAACCAACGATCAGAATAGCATGCCAAAGAAGAGCGTTGATGTCTCCATTTAACAGTTCAGTACCATAATATATTTCCTACAACAAAAAAAGAATGTTAAATTAACTAAAATATATAATATTTTATTTATTAAAAAAAATTAGGTTACTTACATTTCTCATACATTTTAACTCGTCAGTCACTCTTATACCACCAGTTATGGGTTGATCCTCTATTTTTGAAGATAGGTTTTCAATATTTACCTTCTCATATTCTTTAATCTTGATCAATTGCTACCATTAATAAAATACATCATCAGTTACACCATATGAAAAAATAAATGAAAAAAAATATTAAATTAATGAGTTTTAAAAGAAATCTTACTGGGGTGATTTTTTTGCAATTTCGTCTCTGAGCATTAAATTTGTAATCTTTTTTCTTAGCAATTCCTTGGTTAGATATGATCCACTCAAAAGCTTTTCTTGGTGATGAGGTATAACATTGTTTTGGAGCTATATTTTTTGGATTAAGATTAAGACAATCTATAAGATGTTGGGGTGAAGCTTGGAGGATATTTTTGTATTCACCCTTGTAAACAATATTGTAGAGTGATTCAATAGCGCGAGCAGCTACTATAGCCCAACAACAGTCTAAAAGAAAAAAAAATTAATTATAAATCCTAATGTAAATATAAAAATAAATGGGTAATAAAAGAATAAAATACAAAATAAATCTTAATATAAATATGAAAATATATACGTAATAAAAGAATAACTAATACTTACTACATTCTCCTTGATCTCGAACTGGAGTGAGAACGTTATGGTAACGCCAATCAAAATATTCTTCCTGCCATTTTAAATATAGATGAAGTAAAATTGTAGTTAAATGTACTCATTTTCATAAATTCATTAATTTGATAATGAGTATGTTTTAATCTGTAACTCATCCATAATAGATTCTGCAGAATTTAAAAAAAATGGTTAGACTACAATTATTTAAAAAATAATATATTAACAATTAATCTCAACAATAATATAGTTTAGCCGATTGTTCTAATGATATGATCAAATAAAAAAATAATGAAAGTTCATGTCTCATAATAGAAAAGAAAAAATCTATCTTATTTTGTTCTACCTTCATCTAAGTCAACTGCCAAAAATATATAAATGAGTCATATATATGGACTAAAATATTTACAAATATGATTTTGGATCCAACTTCAGTCTCTAACGGAATAAATAATAACAGAATTTAAGTTCTATTCCCATTTAATGTCCACTTTTATTTTTAGAATTTGATTTTTAGGCTCAACTATAATAACAAGAAAAGAAAATAAAAAATTAAAAGGAAAGAAAAAACAGAGCTCATGCAAGAACAAGGAGCAAGAAAAGAGAAGAGAAGAAAAAATGAAAAGAAAAAACAGAGAAAAGGAATGGCGTACCTTGAGCTTATGCAAGAACAAGAAGAGACCTGTGGCAAAGAGAGGAAAAAAAAAAAGAATGAGTGACGAGATGAAACGAAGAGGGAAGGAAATCCGTCACTGTTTTTCTATCTTTTTCTATCATTTCCCTCTTTTTCTTCCCGATGGTCGGAGCCACCCTCTCCTACAGCCCCCGCCTCGTTATTAGATGCAATGCTCATCTGCCAATTTTTTTCTCCTACCGCTAACTGAAGTAAAATGGAGAATAACAGAAAAGAGGAAGGAGGAGGAAGAAGTATGAATTAAAATGAGCAAAAAGGAAGAAGACTAACCTGATCGGAAGCAATTTGGAAAAGGAAAGATAAGTGATGGTGTGAGAGGCAAGGGATATAATATGGGGAAGAGGAGATAGCAAGTCACTATTACGGTTACAACCGACTGGCAGAGCAAGGGAATGTGGAAAAGAATACGGTTATAACGGGGAGGAGAGAGCAAGTGACTGTTGTATTTTGATTCTCTCTCTCACAAACCACCTTCATGACATTCCGCATATATTTGATCTGTCAAGAAATTGAAGGAATCTGGTCAACAACAGGATATAATGCCGTGGAACGTCCTCTTCAGTTTGCTCAAACTGCAGCTGTTTTAGAGGTATTCCCTGATCGTTTCTGGTTTATGAGCTGATTATCATGATACAGCCTCTCCATGGCCTCCTTGGCAAGCTATATTTGATCCGCTTACAAATTTTGGTGTCGAAGATTTTCTTTCTTGCCCTGATTTTATCTTAGAAACGAAGCTGAATCTAGGTTTTGGTTTTTGCCTAATTAGGGCTTGTGAGATCCCCTGTAACAGCAACCTTACCACAGATGGGTTCTAGATTGTATTTGACTTGGGGCATCTTATGGAGTTTCCCTGAGGTTCAAACCCTTCTTTTTCATTCAATTAGCCATAAATTAGTGTTTATGTTTGTAATTTTAATTCATAAAACTGATTACTTCTTGGGTCTGGCAAGTTAGGAATCATGTACTTGTTTCCTCCTTGGTCATCAGCTGGTCTATCGCAGAGGCAAGTTCTTTTTTTGACTGGAAACCTTAATTACAAACTTAATTTACTATAAGAGATGATCCAAGATTCTTTTTACAATGAATCTATGCCTATCGGCTTTATGTGTAACTCCAATGCTTGATGATTCACTCTTACGAATTCAATCCCAAACCGATCTTGGGCATGCTGTGTAGTTCCATTAGGAAGTTTGTCATCATTTCAAATTGCAGCAAATGATCGTAATGAGTTGCTTCCAGGAATCTGGGAAGTATTCTTTTAGCATGCCAAACGAATGGAACTTTTCTTTCGATTACCTCTATGGAGCGATGCTTATTCTTGCATTCTACGTGCCAGGTTCGAGTGGTTCAAGTTCTTGCTGCTTTTCTTTTGCTTCTGTTTTTCTATTTGCTCCTTTTGGTAATACAAAAACTGTGTCCGGCAGGAAGTCCACATATGTACCGCTGCATGCTTGTTCAGAGGTCAAAAGCTCTCTCAAAATCCAAAAAAGAGTACAAAAAAAAGAAGGTTAATGTTATTCTCCCATTCAGTTCGTCTTAATTCAGTGTACTTTACGAATATTTATCCCTAATTTTCATTTATTGTGTTGTTCTATTTATGGTTTTCTCTTTCTTATTGATATTCATTTAGGAATGTTTTCCACATTTTATTTAATCATCTTATATTATTTTATGTTATGAAAGAAGATGGAGCTGTTGAAGAAGTGGCAGCCCAGATTACCCACAAAATAAGAGTTGGTGGAATACTTGATAAGGTGGAAAAGCCTCCTAACCAAAGAGATCAGTTTAGAGGGTGAAGAAGACGTAGAGGTTGATCTGATTGAAGGCATCAATCAACGAGAAATTCAACTAACTCTATCTCCCCATGCTTCTCCCCACGAATTTTTAATGATCCAATATTTTTTTTCCGTGGTTATCTTTTCCATAACCAACGATCAGAATAGCATGCCAAAGAAGAGCGTTGATGTCTCCATTTAACAGTTCAGTACCATAATATATTTCCTACAACAAAAAAAGAATGTTAAATTAACTAAAATATATAATATTTTATTTATTAAAAAAAATTAGGTTACTTACATTTCTCATACATTTTAACTCGTCAGTCACTCTTATACCACCAGTTATGGGTTGATCCTCTATTTTTGAAGATAGGTTTTCAATATTTACCTTCTCATATTCTTTAATCTTGATCAATTGCTACCATTAATAAAATACATCATCAGTTACACCATATGAAAAAATAAATGAAAAAAAATATTAAATTAATGAGTTTTAAAAGAAATCTTACTGGGGTGATTTTTTTGCAATTTCGTCTCTGAGCATTAAATTTGTAATCTTTTTTCTTAGCAATTCCTTGGTTAGATATGATCCACTCAAAAGCTTTTCTTGGTGATGAGGTATAACATTGTTTTGGAGCTATATTTTTTGGATTAAGATTAAGACAATCTATAAGATGTTGGGGTGAAGCTTGGAGGATATTTTTGTATTCACCCTTGTAAACAATATTGTAGAGTGATTCAATAGCGCGAGCAGCTACTATAGCCCAACAACAGTCTAAAAGAAAAAAAAATTAATTATAAATCCTAATGTAAATATAAAAATAAATGGGTAATAAAAGAATAAAATACAAAATAAATCTTAATATAAATATGAAAATATATACGTAATAAAAGAATAACTAATACTTACTACATTCTCCTTGATCTCGAACTGGAGTGAGAACGTTATGGTAACGCCAATCAAAATATTCTTCCTGCCATTTTAAATATAGATGAAGTAAAATTGTAGTTAAATGTACTCATTTTCATAAATTCATTAATTTGATAATGAGTATGTTTTAATCTGTAACTCATCCATAATAGATTCTGCAGAATTTAAAAAAAATGGTTAGACTACAATTATTTAAAAAATAATATATTAACAATTAATCTCAACAATAATATAGTTTAGCCGATTGTTCTAATGATATGATCAAATAAAAAAATAATGAAAGTTCATGTCTCATAATAGAAAAGAAAAAATCTATCTTATTTTGTTCTACCTTCATCTAAGTCAACTGCCAAAAATATATAAATGAGTCATATATATGGACTAAAATATTTACAAATATGATTTTGGATCCAACTTCAGTCTCTAACGGAATAAATAATAACAGAATTTAAGTTCTATTCCCATTTAATGTCCACTTTTATTTTTAGAATTTGATTTTTAGGCTCAACTATAATAACAAGAAAAGAAAATAAAAAATTAAAAGGAAAGAAAAAACAGAGCTCATGCAAGAACAAGGAGCAAGAAAAGAGAAGAGAAGAAAAAATGAAAAGAAAAAACAGAGAAAAGGAATGGCGTACCTTGAGCTTATGCAAGAACAAGAAGAGACCTGTGGCAAAGAGAGGAAAAAAAAAAGAATGAGTGACGAGATGAAACGAAGAGGGAAGGAAATCCGTCACTGTTTTTCTATCTTTTTCTATCATTTCCCTCTTTTTCTTCCCGATGGTCGGAGCCACCCTCTCCTACAGCCCCCGCCTCGTTATTAGATGCAATGCTCATCTGCCAATTTTTTTCTCCTACCGCTAACTGAAGTAAAATGGAGAAAAACAGAAAAGAGGAAGGAGGAGGAAGAAGTATGAATTAAAATGAGCAAAAAGGAAGAAGACTAACCTGATCGGAAGCAATTTGGAAAAGGAAAGATAAGTGATGGTGTGAGAGGCAAGGGATATAATATGGGGAAGAGGAGATAGCAAGTCACTATTACGGTTACAACCGACTGGCAGAGCAAGGGAATGTGGAAAAGAATACGGTTATAACGGGGAGGAGAGAGCAAGTGACTGTTGTATTTTGATTCTCTCTCTCACAAACCACCTTCATGACATTCCGCATATATTTGATCTGTCAAGAAATTGAAGGAATCTGGTCAACAACAGGATATAATGCCGTGGAACGTCCTCTTCAGTTTGCTCAAACTGCAGCTGTTTTAGAGGTATTCCCTGATCGTTTCTGGTTTATGAGCTGATTATCATGATACAGCCTCTCCATGGCCTCCTTGGCAAGCTATATTTGATCCGCTTACAAATTTTGGTGTCGAAGATTTTCTTTCTTGCCCTGATTTTATCTTAGAAACGAAGCTGAATCTAGGTTTTGGTTTTTGCCTAATTAGGGCTTGTGAGATCCCCTGTAACAGCAACCTTACCACAGATGGGTTCTAGATTGTATTTGACTTGGGGCATCTTATGGAGTTTCCCTGAGGTTCAAACCCTTCTTTTTCATTCAATTAGCCATAAATTAGTGTTTATGTTTGTAATTTTAATTCATAAAACTGATTACTTCTTGGGTCTGGCAAGTTAGGAATCATGTACTTGTTTCCTCCTTGGTCATCAGCTGGTCTATCGCAGAGGCAAGTTCTTTTTTTGACTGGAAACCTTAATTACAAACTTAATTTACTATAAGAGATGATCCAAGATTCTTTTTACAATGAATCTATGCCTATCGGCTTTATGTGTAACTCCAATGCTTGATGATTCACTCTTACGAATTCAATCCCAAACCGATCTTGGGCATGCTGTGTAGTTCCATTAGGAAGTTTGTCATCATTTCAAATTGCAGCAAATGATCGTAATGAGTTGCTTCCAGGAATCTGGGAAGTATTCTTTTAGCATGCCAAACGAATGGAACTTTTCTTTCGATTACCTCTATGGAGCGATGCTTATTCTTGCATTCTACGTGCCAGGTTCGAGTGGTTCAAGTTCTTGCTGCTTTTCTTTTGCTTCTGTTTTTCTATTTGCTCCTTTTGGTAATACAAAAACTGTGTCCGGCAGGAAGTCCACATATGTACCGCTGCATGCTTGTTCAGAGGTCAAAAGCTCTCTCAAAATCCAAAAAAGAGTACAAAAAAAAGAAGGTTAATGTTATTCTCCCATTCAGTTCGTCTTAATTCAGTGTACTTTACGAATATTTATCCCTAATTTTCATTTATTGTGTTGTTCTATTTATGGTTTTCTCTTTCTTATTGATATTCATTTAGGAATGTTTTCCACATTTTATTTAATCATCTTATATTATTTTATGTTATGAAAGAAGATGGAGCTGTTGAAGAAGTGGCAGCCCAGATTACCCACAAAATAAGAGTTGGTGGAATACTTGATAAGGTGGAAAAGCCTCCTAACCAAAGAGATCAGTTTAGAGGGTGAAGAAGACGTAGAGGTTGATCTGATTGAAGGCATCAATCAACGAGAAATTCAACTAACTCTATCTCCCCATGCTTCTCCCCACGAATTTTTAATGATCCAATATTTTTTTTCCGTGGTTATCTTTTCCATAACCAACGATCAGAATAGCATGCCAAAGAAGAGCGTTGATGTCTCCATTTAACAGTTCAGTACCATAATATATTTCCTACAACAAAAAAAGAATGTTAAATTAACTAAAATATATAATATTTTATTTATTAAAAAAAATTAGGTTACTTACATTTCTCATACATTTTAACTCGTCAGTCACTCTTATACCACCAGTTATGGGTTGATCCTCTATTTTTGAAGATAGGTTTTCAATATTTACCTTCTCATATTCTTTAATCTTGATCAATTGCTACCATTAATAAAATACATCATCAGTTACACCATATGAAAAAATAAATGAAAAAAAATATTAAATTAATGAGTTTTAAAAGAAATCTTACTGGGGTGATTTTTTTGCAATTTCGTCTCTGAGCATTAAATTTGTAATCTTTTTTCTTAGCAATTCCTTGGTTAGATATGATCCACTCAAAAGCTTTTCTTGGTGATGAGGTATAACATTGTTTTGGAGCTATATTTTTTGGATTAAGATTAAGACAATCTATAAGATGTTGGGGTGAAGCTTGGAGGATATTTTTGTATTCACCCTTGTAAACAATATTGTAGAGTGATTCAATAGCGCGAGCAGCTACTATAGCCCAACAACAGTCTAAAAGAAAAAAAAATTAATTATAAATCCTAATGTAAATATAAAAATAAATGGGTAATAAAAGAATAAAATACAAAATAAATCTTAATATAAATATGAAAATATATACGTAATAAAAGAATAACTAATACTTACTACATTCTCCTTGATCTCGAACTGGAGTGAGAACGTTATGGTAACGCCAATCAAAATATTCTTCCTGCCATTTTAAATATAGATGAAGTAAAATTGTAGTTAAATGTACTCATTTTCATAAATTCATTAATTTGATAATGAGTATGTTTTAATCTGTAACTCATCCATAATAGATTCTGCAGAATTTAAAAAAAATGGTTAGACTACAATTATTTAAAAAATAATATATTAACAATTAATCTCAACAATAATATAGTTTAGCCGATTGTTCTAATGATATGATCAAATAAAAAAATAATGAAAGTTCATGTCTCATAATAGAAAAGAAAAAATCTATCTTATTTTGTTCTACCTTCATCTAAGTCAACTGCCAAAAATATATAAATGAGTCATATATATGGACTAAAATATTTACAAATATGATTTTGGATCCAACTTCAGTCTCTAATGGAATAAATAATAACAGAATTTAAGTTCTATTCCCATTTAATGTCCACTTTTATTTTTAGAATTTGATTTTTAGGCTCAACTATAATAACAAGAAAAGAAAATAAAAAATTAAAAGGAAAGAAAAAACAGAGCTCATGCAAGAACAAGGAGCAAGAAAAGAGAAGAGAAGAAAAAATGAAAAGAAAAAACAGAGAAAAGGAATGGCGTACCTTGAGCTTATGCAAGAACAAGAAGAGACCTGTGGCAAAGAGAGGAAAAAAAAAAGAATGAGTGACGAGATGAAACGAAGAGGGAAGGAAATCCGTCACTGTTTTTCTATCTTTTTCTATCATTTCCCTCTTTTTCTTCCCGATGGTCGGAGCCACCCTCTCCTACAGCCCCCGCCTCGTTATTAGATGCAATGCTCATCTGCCAATTTTTTTCTCCTACCGCTAACTGAAGTAAAATGGAGAAAAACAGAAAAGAGGAAGGAGGAGGAAGAAGTATGAATTAAAATGAGCAAAAAGGAAGAAGACTAACCTGATCGGAAGCAATTTGGAAAAGGAAAGATAAGTGATGGTGTGAGAGGCAAGGGATATAATATGGGGAAGAGGAGATAGCAAGTCACTATTACGGTTACAACCGACTGGCAGAGCAAGGGAATGTGGAAAAGAATACGGTTATAACGGGGAGGAGAGAGCAAGTGACTGTTGTATTTTGATTCTCTCTCTCACAAACCACCTTCATGACATTCCGCATATATTTGATCTGTCAAGAAATTGAAGGAATCTGGTCAACAACAGGATATAATGCCGTGGAACGTCCTCTTCAGTTTGCTCAAACTGCAGCTGTTTTAGAGGTATTCCCTGATCGTTTCTGGTTTATGAGCTGATTATCATGATACAGCCTCTCCATGGCCTCCTTGGCAAGCTATATTTGATCCGCTTACAAATTTTGGTGTCGAAGATTTTCTTTCTTGCCCTGATTTTATCTTAGAAACGAAGCTGAATCTAGGTTTTGGTTTTTGCCTAATTAGGGCTTGTGAGATCCCCTGTAACAGCAACCTTACCACAGATGGGTTCTAGATTGTATTTGACTTGGGGCATCTTATGGAGTTTCCCTGAGGTTCAAACCCTTCTTTTTCATTCAATTAGCCATAAATTAGTGTTTATGTTTGTAATTTTAATTCATAAAACTGATTACTTCTTGGGTCTGGCAAGTTAGGAATCATGTACTTGTTTCCTCCTTGGTCATCAGCTGGTCTATCGCAGAGGCAAGTTCTTTTTTTGACTGAAAACCTTAATTACAAACTTAATTTACTATAAGAGATGATCCAAGATTCTTTTTACAATGAATCTATGCCTATCGGCTTTATGTGTAACTCCAATGCTTGATGATTCACTCTTACGAATTCAATCCCAAACCGATCTTGGGCATGCTGTGTAGTTCCATTAGGAAGTTTGTCATCATTTCAAATTGCAGCAAATGATCGTAATGAGTTGCTTCCAGGAATCTGGGAAGTATTCTTTTAGCATGCCAAACGAATGGAACTTTTCTTTCGATTACCTCTATGGAGCGATGCTTATTCTTGCATTCTACGTGCCAGGTTCGAGTGGTTCAAGTTCTTGCTGCTTTTCTTTTGCTTCTGTTTTTCTATTTGCTCCTTTTGGTAATACAAAAACTGTGTCCGGCAGGAAGTCCACATATGTACCGCTGCATGCTTGTTCAGAGGTCAAAAGCTCTCTCAAAATCCAAAAAAGAGTACAAAAAAAAGAAGGTTAATGTTATTCTCCCATTCAGTTCGTCTTAATTCAGTGTACTTTACGAATATTTATCCCTAATTTTCATTTATTGTGTTGTTCTATTTATGGTTTTCTCTTTCTTATTGATATTCATTTAGGAATGTTTTCCACATTTTATTTAATCATCTTATATTATTTTATGTTATGAAAGAAGATGGAGCTGTTGAAGAAGTGGCAGCCCAGATTACCCACAAAATAAGAGTTGGTGGAATACTTGATAAGGTGGAAAAGCCTCCTAACCAAAGAGATCAGTTTAGAGGGTGAAGAAGACGTAGAGGTTGATCTGATTGAAGGCATCAATCAACGAGAAATTCAACTAACTCTATCTCCCCATGCTTCTCCCCACGAATTTTTAATGATCCAATATTTTTTTTCCGTGGTTATCTTTTCCATAACCAACGATCAGAATAGCATGCCAAAGAAGAGCGTTGATGTCTCCATTTAACAGTTCAGTACCATAATATATTTCCTACAACAAAAAAAGAATGTTAAATTAACTAAAATATATAATATTTTATTTATTAAAAAAAATTAGGTTACTTACATTTCTCATACATTTTAACTCGTCAGTCACTCTTATACCACCAGTTATGGGTTGATCCTCTATTTTTGAAGATAGGTTTTCAATATTTACCTTCTCATATTCTTTAATCTTGATCAATTGCTACCATTAATAAAATACATCATCAGTTATACCATATGAAAAAATAAATGAAAAAAAATATTAAATTAATGAGTTTTAAAAGAAATCTTACTGGGGTGATTTTTTTGCAATTTCCTCTCTGAGCATTAAATTTGTAATCTTTTTTCTTAGCAATTCCTTGGTTAGATATGATCCACTCAAAAGCTTTTCTTGGTGATGAGGTATAACATTGTTTTGGAGCTATATTTTTTGGATTAAGATTAAGACAATCTATAAGATGTTGGGGTGAAGCTTGGAGGATATTTTTGTATTCACCCTTGTAAACAATATTGTAGAGTGATTCAATAGCCCGAGCAGCTACTATAGCCCAACAACAGTCTAAAAGAAAAAAAAAATAATTATAAATCCTAATGTAAATATAAAAATAAATGGGTAATAAAAGAATAAAATACAAAATAAATCTTAATATAAATATGAAAATATATACGTAATAAAAGAATAACTAATACTTACTACATTCTCCTTGATCTCGAACTGGAGTGAGAACGTTATGGTAACGCCAATCAAAATATTCTTCCTGCCATTTTAAATATAGATGAAGTAAAATTGTAGTTAAATGTACTCATTTTCATAAATTCATTAATTTGATAATGAGTATGTTTTAATCTGTAACTCATCCATAATAGATTCTGCAGAATTTAAAAAAAATGGTTAGACTACAATTATTTAAAAAATAATATATTAACAATTAATCTCAACAATAATATAGTTTAGCCGATTGTTCTAATGATATGATCAAATAAAAAAATAATGAAAGTTCATGTCTCATAATAGAAAAGAAAAAATCTATCTTATTTTGTTCTACCTTCATCTAAGTCAACTGCCAAAAATATATAAATGAGTCATATATATGGACTAAAATATTTACAAATATGATTTTGGATCCAACTTCAGTCTCTAATGGAATAAATAATAACAGAATTTAAGTTCTATTCCCATTTAATGTCCACTTTTATTTTTAGAATTTGATTTTTAGGCTCAACTATAATAACAAGAAAAGAAAATAAAAAATTAAAAGGAAAGAAAAAACAGAGCTCATGCAAGAACAAGGAGCAAGAAAAGAGAAGAGAAGAAAAAATGAAAAGAAAAAACAGAGAAAAGGAATGGCGTACCTTGAGCTTATGCAAGAACAAGAAGAGACCTGTGGCAAAGAGAGGAAAAAAAAAAAGAATGAGTGACGAGATGAAACGAAGAGGGAAGGAAATCCGTCACTGTTTTTCTATCTTTTTCTATCATTTCCCTCTTTTTCTTCCCGATGGTCGGAGCCACCCTCTCCTACAGCCCCCGCCTCGTTATTAGATGCAATGCTCATCTGCCAATTTTTTTCTCCTACCGCTAACTGAAGTAAAATGGAGAATAACAGAAAAGAGGAAGGAGGAGGAAGAAGTATGAATTAAAATGAGCAAAAAGGAAGAAGACTAACCTGATCGGAAGCAATTTGGAAAAGGAAAGATAAGTGATGGTGTGAGAGGCAAGGGATATAATATGGGGAAGAGGAGATAGCAAGTCACTATTACGGTTACAACCGACTGGCAGAGCAAGGGAATGTGGAAAAGAATACGGTTATAACGGGGAGGAGAGAGCAAGTGACTGTTGTATTTTGATTCTCTCTCTCACAAACCACCTTCATGACATTCCGCATATATTTGATCTGTCAAGAAATTGAAGGAATCTGGTCAACAACAGGATATAATGCCGTGGAACGTCCTCTTCAGTTTGCTCAAACTGCAGCTGTTTTAGAGGTATTCCCTGATCGTTTCTGGTTTATGAGCTGATTATCATGATACAGCCTCTCCATGGCCTCCTTGGCAAGCTATATTTGATCCGCTTACAAATTTTGGTGTCGAAGATTTTCTTTCTTGCCCTGATTTTATCTTAGAAACGAAGCTGAATCTAGGTTTTGGTTTTTGCCTAATTAGGGCTTGTGAGATCCCCTGTAACAGCAACCTTACCACAGATGGGTTCTAGATTGTATTTGACTTGGGGCATCTTATGGAGTTTCCCTGAGGTTCAAACCCTTCTTTTTCATTCAATTAGCCATAAATTAGTGTTTATGTTTGTAATTTTAATTCATAAAACTGATTACTTCTTGGGTCTGGCAAGTTAGGAATCATGTACTTGTTTCCTCCTTGGTCATCAGCTGGTCTATCGCAGAGGCAAGTTCTTTTTTTGACTGGAAACCTTAATTACAAACTTAATTTACTATAAGAGATGATCCAAGATTCTTTTTACAATGAATCTATGCCTATCGGCTTTATGTGTAACTCCAATGCTTGATGATTCACTCTTACGAATTCAATCCCAAACCGATCTTGGGCATGCTGTGTAGTTCCATTAGGAAGTTTGTCATCATTTCAAATTGCAGCAAATGATCGTAATGAGTTGCTTCCAGGAATCTGGGAAGTATTCTTTTAGCATGCCAAACGAATGGAACTTTTCTTTCGATTACCTCTATGGAGCGATGCTTATTCTTGCATTCTACGTGCCAGGTTCGAGTGGTTCAAGTTCTTGCTGCTTTTCTTTTGCTTCTGTTTTTCTATTTGCTCCTTTTGGTAATACAAAAACTGTGTCCGGCAGGAAGTCCACATATGTACCGCTGCATGCTTGTTCAGAGGTCAAAAGCTCTCTCAAAATCCAAAAAAGAGTACAAAAAAAAGAAGGTTAATGTTATTCTCCCATTCAGTTCGTCTTAATTCAGTGTACTTTACGAATATTTATCCCTAATTTTCATTTATTGTGTTGTTCTATTTATGGTTTTCTCTTTCTTATTGATATTCATTTAGGAATGTTTTCCACATTTTATTTAATCATCTTATATTATTTTATGTTATGAAAGAAGATGGAGCTGTTGAAGAAGTGGCAGCCCAGATTACCCACAAAATAAGAGTTGGTGGAATACTTGATAAGGTGGAAAAGCCTCCTAACCAAAGAGATCAGTTTAGAGGGTGAAGAAGACGTAGAGGTTGATCTGATTGAAGGCATCAATCAACGAGAAATTCAACTAACTCTATCTCCCCATGCTTCTCCCCACGAATTTTTAATGATCCAATATTTTTTTTCCGTGGTTATCTTTTCCATAACCAACGATCAGAATAGCATGCCAAAGAAGAGCGTTGATGTCTCCATTTAACAGTTCAGTACCATAATATATTTCCTACAACAAAAAAAGAATGTTAAATTAACTAAAATATATAATATTTTATTTATTAAAAAAAATTAGGTTACTTACATTTCTCATACATTTTAACTCGTCAGTCACTCTTATACCACCAGTTATGGGTTGATCCTCTATTTTTGAAGATAGGTTTTCAATATTTACCTTCTCATATTCTTTAATCTTGATCAATTGCTACCATTAATAAAATACATCATCAGTTACACCATATGAAAAAATAAATGAAAAAAAATATTAAATTAATGAGTTTTAAAAGAAATCTTACTGGGGTGATTTTTTTGCAATTTCGTCTCTGAGCATTAAATTTGTAATCTTTTTTCTTAGCAATTCCTTGGTTAGATATGATCCACTCAAAAGCTTTTCTTGGTGATGAGGTATAACATTGTTTTGGAGCTATATTTTTTGGATTAAGATTAAGACAATCTATAAGATGTTGGGGTGAAGCTTGGAGGATATTTTTGTATTCACCCTTGTAAACAATATTGTAGAGTGATTCAATAGCGCGAGCAGCTACTATAGCCCAACAACAGTCTAAAAGAAAAAAAAATTAATTATAAATCCTAATGTAAATATAAAAATAAATGGGTAATAAAAGAATAAAATACAAAATAAATCTTAATATAAATATGAAAATATATACGTAATAAAAGAATAACTAATACTTACTACATTCTCCTTGATCTCGAACTGGAGTGAGAACGTTATGGTAACGCCAATCAAAATATTCTTCCTGCCATTTTAAATATAGATGAAGTAAAATTGTAGTTAAATGTACTCATTTTCATAAATTCATTAATTTGATAATGAGTATGTTTTAATCTGTAACTCATCCATAATAGATTCTGCAGAATTTAAAAAAAATGGTTAGACTACAATTATTTAAAAAATAATATATTAACAATTAATCTCAACAATAATATAGTTTAGCCGATTGTTCTAATGATATGATCAAATAAAAAAATAATGAAAGTTCATGTCTCATAATAGAAAAGAAAAAATCTATCTTATTTTGTTCTACCTTCATCTAAGTCAACTGCCAAAAATATATAAATGAGTCATATATATGGACTAAAATATTTACAAATATGATTTTGGATCCAACTTCAGTCTCTAATGGAATAAATAATAACAGAATTTAAGTTCTATTCCCATTTAATGTCCACTTTTATTTTTAGAATTTGATTTTTAGGCTCAACTATAATAACAAGAAAAGAAAATAAAAAATTAAAAGGAAAGAAAAAACAGAGCTCATGCAAGAACAAGGAGCAAGAAAAGAGAAGAGAAGAAAAAATGAAAAGAAAAAACAGAGAAAAGGAATGGCGTACCTTGAGCTTATGCAAGAACAAGAAGAGACCTGTGGCAAAGAGAGGAAAAAAAAAAGAATGAGTGACGAGATGAAACGAAGAGGGAAGGAAATCCGTCACTGTTTTTCTATCTTTTTCTATCATTTCCCTCTTTTTCTTCCCGATGGTCGGAGCCACCCTCTCCTACAGCCCCCGCCTCGTTATTAGATGCAATGCTCATCTGCCAATTTTTTTCTCCTACCGCTAACTGAAGTAAAATGGAGAAAAACAGAAAAGAGGAAGGAGGAGGAAGAAGTATGAATTAAAATGAGCAAAAAGGAAGAAGACTAACCTGATCGGAAGCAATTTGGAAAAGGAAAGATAAGTGATGGTGTGAGAGGCAAGGGATATAATATGGGGAAGAGGAGATAGCAAGTCACTATTACGGTTACAACCGACTGGCAGAGCAAGGGAATGTGGAAAAGAATACGGTTATAACGGGGAGGAGAGAGCAAGTGACTGTTGTATTTTGATTCTCTCTCTCACAAACCACCTTCATGACATTCCGCATATATTTGATCTGTCAAGAAATTGAAGGAATCTGGTCAACAACAGGATATAATGCCGTGGAACGTCCTCTTCAGTTTGCTCAAACTGCAGCTGTTTTAGAGGTATTCCCTGATCGTTTCTGGTTTATGAGCTGATTATCATGATACAGCCTCTCCATGGCCTCCTTGGCAAGCTATATTTGATCCGCTTACAAATTTTGGTGTCGAAGATTTTCTTTCTTGCCCTGATTTTATCTTAGAAACGAAGCTGAATCTAGGTTTTGGTTTTTGCCTAATTAGGGCTTGTGAGATCCCCTGTAACAGCAACCTTACCACAGATGGGTTCTAGATTGTATTTGACTTGGGGCATCTTATGGAGTTTCCCTGAGGTTCAAACCCTTCTTTTTCATTCAATTAGCCATAAATTAGTGTTTATGTTTGTAATTTTAATTCATAAAACTGATTACTTCTTGGGTCTGGCAAGTTAGGAATCATGTACTTGTTTCCTCCTTGGTCATCAGCTGGTCTATCGCAGAGGCAAGTTCTTTTTTTGACTGGAAACCTTAATTACAAACTTAATTTACTATAAGAGATGATCCAAGATTCTTTTTACAATGAATCTATGCCTATCGGCTTTATGTGTAACTCCAATGCTTGATGATTCACTCTTACGAATTCAATCCCAAACCGATCTTGGGCATGCTGTGTAGTTCCATTAGGAAGTTTGTCATCATTTCAAATTGCAGCAAATGATCGTAATGAGTTGCTTCCAGGAATCTGGGAAGTATTCTTTTAGCATGCCAAACGAATGGAACTTTTCTTTCGATTACCTCTATGGAGCGATGCTTATTCTTGCATTCTACGTGCCAGGTTCGAGTGGTTCAAGTTCTTGCTGCTTTTCTTTTGCTTCTGTTTTTCTATTTGCTCCTTTTGGTAATACAAAAACTGTGTCCGGCAGGAAGTCCACATATGTACCGCTGCATGCTTGTTCAGAGGTCAAAAGCTCTCTCAAAATCCAAAAAAGAGTACAAAAAAAAGAAGGTTAATGTTATTCTCCCATTCAGTTCGTCTTAATTCAGTGTACTTTACGAATATTTATCCCTAATTTTCATTTATTGTGTTGTTCTATTTATGGTTTTCTCTTTCTTATTGATATTCATTTAGGAATGTTTTCCACATTTTATTTAATCATCTTATATTATTTTATGTTATGAAAGAAGATGGAGCTGTTGAAGAAGTGGCAGCCCAGATTACCCACAAAATAAGAGTTGGTGGAATACTTGATAAGGTGGAAAAGCCTCCTAACCAAAGAGATCAGTTTAGAGGGTGAAGAAGACGTAGAGGTTGATCTGATTGAAGGCATCAATCAACGAGAAATTCAACTAACTCTATCTCCCCATGCTTCTCCCCACGAATTTTTAATGATCCAATATTTTTTTTCCGTGGTTATCTTTTCCATAACCAACGATCAGAATAGCATGCCAAAGAAGAGCGTTGATGTCTCCATTTAACAGTTCAGTACCATAATATATTTCCTACAACAAAAAAAGAATGTTAAATTAACTAAAATATATAATATTTTATTTATTAAAAAAAATTAGGTTACTTACATTTCTCATACATTTTAACTCGTCAGTCACTCTTATACCACCAGTTATGGGTTGATCCTCTATTTTTGAAGATAGGTTTTCAATATTTACCTTCTCATATTCTTTAATCTTGATCAATTGCTACCATTAATAAAATACATCATCAGTTACACCATATGAAAAAATAAATGAAAAAAAATATTAAATTAATGAGTTTTAAAAGAAATCTTACTGGGGTGATTTTTTTGCAATTTCGTCTCTGAGCATTAAATTTGTAATCTTTTTTCTTAGCAATTCCTTGGTTAGATATGATCCACTCAAAAGCTTTTCTTGGTGATGAGGTATAACATTGTTTTGGAGCTATATTTTTTGGATTAAGATTAAGACAATCTATAAGATGTTGGGGTGAAGCTTGGAGGATATTTTTGTATTCACCCTTGTAAACAATATTGTAGAGTGATTCAATAGCGCGAGCAGCTACTATAGCCCAACAACAGTCTAAAAGAAAAAAAAATTAATTATAAATCCTAATGTAAATATAAAAATAAATGGGTAATAAAAGAATAAAATACAAAATAAATCTTAATATAAATATGAAAATATATACGTAATAAAAGAATAACTAATACTTACTACATTCTCCTTGATCTCGAACTGGAGTGAGAACGTTATGGTAACGCCAATCAAAATATTCTTCCTGCCATTTTAAATATAGATGAAGTAAAATTGTAGTTAAATGTACTCATTTTCATAAATTCATTAATTTGATAATGAGTATGTTTTAATCTGTAACTCATCCATAATAGATTCTGCAGAATTTAAAAAAAATGGTTAGACTACAATTATTTAAAAAATAATATATTAACAATTAATCTCAACAATAATATAGTTTAGCCGATTGTTCTAATGATATGATCAAATAAAAAAATAATGAAAGTTCATGTCTCATAATAGAAAAGAAAAAATCTATCTTATTTTGTTCTACCTTCATCTAAGTCAACTGCCAAAAATATATAAATGAGTCATATATATGGACTAAAATATTTACAAATATGATTTTGGATCCAACTTCAGTCTCTAATGGAATAAATAATAACAGAATTTAAGTTCTATTCCCATTTAATGTCCACTTTTATTTTTAGAATTTGATTTTTAGGCTCAACTATAATAACAAGAAAAGAAAATAAAAAATTAAAAGGAAAGAAAAAACAGAGCTCATGCAAGAACAAGGAGCAAGAAAAGAGAAGAGAAGAAAAAATGAAAAGAAAAAACAGAGAAAAGGAATGGCGTACCTTGAGCTTATGCAAGAACAAGAAGAGACCTGTGGCAAAGAGAGGAAAAAAAAAAGAATGAGTGACGAGATGAAACGAAGAGGGAAGGAAATCCGTCACTGTTTTTCTATCTTTTTCTATCATTTCCCTCTTTTTCTTCCCGATGGTCGGAGCCACCCTCTCCTACAGCCCCCGCCTCGTTATTAGATGCAATGCTCATCTGCCAATTTTTTTCTCCTACCGCTAACTGAAGTAAAATGGAGAAAAACAGAAAAGAGGAAGGAGGAGGAAGAAGTATGAATTAAAATGAGCAAAAAGGAAGAAGACTAACCTGATCGGAAGCAATTTGGAAAAGGAAAGATAAGTGATGGTGTGAGAGGCAAGGGATATAATATGGGGAAGAGGAGATAGCAAGTCACTATTACGGTTACAACCGACTGGCAGAGCAAGGGAATGTGGAAAAGAATACGGTTATAACGGGGAGGAGAGAGCAAGTGACTGTTGTATTTTGATTCTCTCTCTCACAAACCACCTTCATGACATTCCGCATATATTTGATCTGTCAAGAAATTGAAGGAATCTGGTCAACAACAGGATATAATGCCGTGGAACGTCCTCTTCAGTTTGCTCAAACTGCAGCTGTTTTAGAGGTATTCCCTGATCGTTTCTGGTTTATGAGCTGATTATCATGATACAGCCTCTCCATGGCCTCCTTGGCAAGCTATATTTGATCCGCTTACAAATTTTGGTGTCGAAGATTTTCTTTCTTGCCCTGATTTTATCTTAGAAACGAAGCTGAATCTAGGTTTTGGTTTTTGCCTAATTAGGGCTTGTGAGATCCCCTGTAACAGCAACCTTACCACAGATGGGTTCTAGATTGTATTTGACTTGGGGCATCTTATGGAGTTTCCCTGAGGTTCAAACCCTTCTTTTTCATTCAATTAGCCATAAATTAGTGTTTATGTTTGTAATTTTAATTCATAAAACTGATTACTTCTTGGGTCTGGCAAGTTAGGAATCATGTACTTGTTTCCTCCTTGGTCATCAGCTGGTCTATCGCAGAGGCAAGTTCTTTTTTTGACTGGAAACCTTAATTACAAACTTAATTTACTATAAGAGATGATCCAAGATTCTTTTTACAATGAATCTATGCCTATCGGCTTTATGTGTAACTCCAATGCTTGATGATTCACTCTTACGAATTCAATCCCAAACCGATCTTGGGCATGCTGTGTAGTTCCATTAGGAAGTTTGTCATCATTTCAAATTGCAGCAAATGATCGTAATGAGTTGCTTCCAGGAATCTGGGAAGTATTCTTTTAGCATGCCAAACGAATGGAACTTTTCTTTCGATTACCTCTATGGAGCGATGCTTATTCTTGCATTCTACGTGCCAGGTTCGAGTGGTTCAAGTTCTTGCTGCTTTTCTTTTGCTTCTGTTTTTCTATTTGCTCCTTTTGGTAATACAAAAACTGTGTCCGGCAGGAAGTCCACATATGTACCGCTGCATGCTTGTTCAGAGGTCAAAAGCTCTCTCAAAATCCAAAAAAGAGTACAAAAAAAAGAAGGTTAATGTTATTCTCCCATTCAGTTCGTCTTAATTCAGTGTACTTTACGAATATTTATCCCTAATTTTCATTTATTGTGTTGTTCTATTTATGGTTTTCTCTTTCTTATTGATATTCATTTAGGAATGTTTTCCACATTTTATTTAATCATCTTATATTATTTTATGTTATGAAAGAAGATGGAGCTGTTGAAGAAGTGGCCGCCCAGATTACCCACAAAATAAGAGTTGGTGGAATACTTGATAAGGTGGAAAAGCCTCCTAACCAAAGAGATCAGTTTAGAGGGTGAAGAAGACGTAGAGGTTGATCTGATTGAAGGCATCAATCAACGAGGAATTCAACTAACTAACTTGGGAGAATGATGTGGGTATGCTTGTCTAGAGGTGTATTATTTGCCTTTGGCCCCAAGCTCCAGACATCTTCCTTCATATATAGATGTCATATAGTTAATTTGTAGTCTGTATATATAGAGTTGGAGCAAGTGACTTGGCTTCTCCTCCCCTTGCACGTCTACTCTTACTGTATACAGATGCAAGGTGCATAGAAATGTACTATAAGAGGGTGTAAGTAATCGTCGAACTGATTGCCCTGACTTATAATGTAGTTCAATTGCTATCAATCAAACTGTACTTTCCCTTGCCATCTACCAGGGAGGAGTTGTTTTCGAATGTTCTTTCCCCCTTTTTTAGATTGCCTACTATGCTCCGCCTAAGAATGGGAGTAGTCCTAGTTTCCTCCCCTGCATTTCGCTCGACAATGGCATCCTCCACGGCCACGAGCATGCGAGAACACTGAATCTAGTGTAGAAAGTCCAAATATTAGATCAAAGAAGGAAAGAATTATATATAAAGAGAAGAAAAGACTTGGAAAAGAAAACATAGCAACTTATTGTCAAACGTTTTCACCTCTACAACTGTGTGTGTTTAAAGAATACATTATGTACTACCTATATCACAAACTCCAAATCGAGAGTTACAGAATAATGTATTAAAACAGGTATCAAAAACACCCCCTCTCCCTAAAGCCAAAATCCTTATAGTTATCTCAATCATTTGACTTTTGGTTTCGCTGCCAAGCAATATTGTTGTTTTACATTCTTTCCCTAAATTCTTCAGTTTCACCTCAGACAGAAATTTCAGAATCCGACCACAACCAACAGCGTTTCCTGCAACCTTAAGTGACATGCTTCCAGAAAAATGAGTAATATGATCAAGGTTTCCAAGGTGCTGGAGGGGGTGGTGGAGTTGGGAACATTGGAGGCACTGCAGAGAAGATGGTGTTCTTGTCAATTCCAGATGTTTTTTCACCCGAAAGGGCAACGAGTGCTGCAACCAAGCCTGCATTTCCAGCTAGAGTTGGCTCAGTGTAGTTATAGTTGGTGCGAACATCGTGAAACCCATCGTGCTTGTCAGGACCAGCAACCATGGCACCAACAACTGTATTTGGGTTAGGCTTTTTTGTATCCCTCCATTTCCATCCTCCTTTGCAGTTATATTTGATCTTGTTCTTTGGGATTGATGCACCTCTATGATGCACATGTTTCGGATAATGATTGCCAAAACCAACGATGTAGCTCATCTTGCGCGGGTTTTTGCCAAGGATATAATCAATCTGCAGAACACACATGAATAGTGTTGAATTGAGTGTGTATTGAGGGTAAGAAACTGAACTAAACTGATGAACCAACCCAATCCAATTCATACTCATGTCAATTCGGTTCAATTAATCTTATATGTTCAGTAAGCTGTTCAACATAATGTGTAAAGAAGGATGAAATCTAAAGAAGGATGAAATACCTGGGTCTTTGCAAAATCGCGCAAAACATCAGTTGAATAGAAATTGGGCCCACAGTACCATCCAGGTGTATCTGCCGCTTCCAAGTAATCACTGTACAGGGTAGCTAAAAAGGCTGCATTGACGACGTACTGAAGAGGCTGTGGCCTTCCATGGTTTAGCTGAATTAGGCCTCCTACAAGATCACCCCAACAAGATAGCAAAAATGAAAACTATATTCGTAAATTATAACTAATGATGATGAGTAACTGTAAGGTTAAAAGAGTTCAAATTCCAACAAGTGGTGTACCTCTAGTTCGATTAAACTTTGTGAAAAATGGTAGGTAGGAACACATAACTATGCTAGTTTGGTTGTGGAATGTCCTCAAGATTTCCTCATATGGATATCCAGGGCTCAAGAACAATCGCAAACGACTGAGAAGAACCTACAAGAAATGGTAAAAGGAATTTCAGCAAAGCACACCCATAATGCATAGCAAGAAACCAACGAGTACCCTTCAATATTGTGACAAGAACGTATCATAATTCATCACAAGTCTAAGAGAAATGCCACATTATTTTAAGAATAAAAATTACAAAACAGGGACAATGAGAATTCGTAAATGAACCTGGGCGCCTGCAAGCTTGTTGTCCCAGCTCAAAACTCCATAGTCAGGTCCACCCCAGAACGCACCCGCATGTTTGGCAATGCCAGGAGTGGTAGAAAGTTGAAGATAACTGGAATTCCCAGTAGCATAATACAACCAAGCTCCACCCCATACAAACTCATCCCAATAACTAGTTGAATTGTAGAAGATTGAAGCTTCTGAATTACCTCCACTGTATCTGCCTCTCTGATCCCTGGCAAACTTGAAGAGTGTTCTGGCACCATGGACAAGCTTCTGTGAGTATGCCTTGTTGTCTTTGAAAACAATCGATGCTGAAGCTAAAGCAGCAGCCATTTCGGCAGCAAGATCTGAGCAACTACTGCACGTAATTACAGGCCGCATATAATCAATGTCCTCTGGGCGCATCCAGCAATAATGATCGTTTGGACTTGTATTTCCTCCAGAGGTATCCCCTACTCCAACCTGTCATATGATGGATAGAATTTTTGTTTATCATCGCTCAACAAAAGACTCAGAATAAAATTATAGGGGCACAACTAAACAAAAACCAGACTCATGCAAATGATGATACAGATTATTCATACACACTACGTTTCAAATTCATAATTCATTCATAATTCACTTCAAGTCATCTACGACATTGAAAATAAGCATTAAACATGAGTGAGAGTTTTTTATACCTGCATGGCGATGGTACTGATAGAATCAGCAGTATGGTTAAAAGTCTTGAGGAAATAATCACTTCCCCACTTAATAATATCCTTGACATGGTTGAGCTCTCCAGCAGCTTCATATTTGGCACTGTATTCAATGACACTCCAGCTTAACATGGTCATGGCAAAAGAGGCAGGAAAATTGAACTTAATTGCATCTCCAGCGTCATAATAGCCACCAGACAGATCTTTAAAGAGAGATGTATCATCGCCATCTTGCGTGCAGGAATTACCCCTCCAGGACACATTATTGTGCTTCGGGAGCTTACCAGCTACATTCATGAACCAAAATGAAGTAAATAACACAATACTATATCATGTCCTCTCTTGATTATCAAACGACAACTAACATAAAGCTAAATCTTTACTGCCCAACTCTACAAATACAAATCCAGTCCCCCGTTTCATCAGAACTTAATTAGTAACAGGGTCAAATTTCTAGTTCTGTAATGTACGGGGGTTAGCCAGTAATAAATTTCGAAATTGACAGGATGATTTATTCACCGAGGCAATCATCGATTCACATATAGATCTTGAGATAACCAACAAACGTTTTCATCATCAACTAATTTCCTTAACTACGCATCCCAAATTTTCAACAGACAGAAAGCAAAACAATCTAAAACCACGATGATCAAAATCAAGGGAAGCAATAGTAAGAGATGCAAGATGGACATACATCGCTGAGCGTTGAAGAACATGAGTGCCTTATGGAGGGCAAGAGTGTAATTATCCGGCGGCGGGTGGGGGTGGTGGTGGCGCGGCACCGTTTTGACGATTAGGGTAATAAGACCAGCGAGAAACCCAGATACAAGTAGGGTTCCAACAGTCCACACAAAGATCTTCCGACTGACAATAATGCAGCCGAGATCCACATACTTCTTCTTCTTCTGTTCGCCTGGTCCAAGCAGCCAGCTCTGTTGAGTCTCATCGAGAGGCCGAGACAGAGCGGCCCTGTCCAAATCCTGCAAATTCCGGCTGCGATCGTCGTCGGTAGCCGAATCCGCCGTGTTAATCTCAAGCGGACCCCCCCACGGATCTCGTCCGTACATACTCATCTTCGATCTCTCCTCCTACCTCTCTGAATCGGAAGCAACTCAAATGAAAGAATGAAATCAAAGAGTGAGAATCTCAGAACGGAGAGATGAAATTCGGCACCGACAAACGGAGGAAAGCCCCAGATCTACGGAATCAAACTGAAAAATGGGCAATGGAAAAATGTAGAGAGAGAAATAGAGGAGAGAGAGAGTAGCGAATTAAAGGCAGTGAAAGCACAGAAGGAGTTATGTATATGAAGAAGAAAGGAAAGCAGAGCAATGGCTGTCTGTGTTCTGCTTGCTCAAAACACTTTTTTGGGCTTTTTTTCTTTTAATCAATCAATCAATCAATCAATTAAATTAAATTAAATTTTGGGAAAGCGAACGACGGTGCTCAAAATCAGTCAAATTATCGTATAATTAGTAGTAAAAACTATAATAATAATATCAATGCTAATACATAATCCCTCAATTTACCATTTTACCCCTTATCCCTATAATAATATCAATGCTTAAAAAATTCTTGCATTCCTAATTTTGTTAAATCTCTTTAATCTAAAAGACATTTACTGTTAAATTTAATTTTTTTATTAATTAGATAGATACATCTGAGTTATTTATGAGCCTCTTATTTTAACATCATTTAAATTCTCTTATAATATAAAATTTGAAAATGATTCGTAACACTAAATTTTAACCTAAATTCTCATTACACATTTCCTAAGAACTGAAAATACTAAATTAAAAAAATTTAAAACTTTCACAGACAAATAAAAAGAGAGCAAAAAAGAAAGAAATTAAAGATGTAAAAAGTTGGAAGCTTTTGTAAGGAATTGAAATTATGAGGGTGAAATAGTAATTTAGGCTGATGATTAGTATTAAAAAAAAAAGAAATAGAAAAACAATAGATGTGATGGGGAGGTTGGAATAAATTAATTGGTGACCAAATTATTTATAGGGAAATATAATTTCTACCATTTCTTATTATTATTTCTTTCAGTTGTTTTTTCATTTGTAAAATTATTGTCTTTTCTTTTTAAAGAATAAATAAATAAATATAAAAAATATTTCCGTGTTTATTTTTATTTAGTTTTTCAATTTTTCATTTTTTTTTATTCAACATGTAGAGTTAAAAATTGGATCATTTAGTTAAAATTATAATATATTAGTCAATTGAGCTAGTTATTCAAAATTTTCTGGACAGTTCTTACTTTTTTGTTATTCTTTGAATAAAACGTTTTATTTCTTCTAAAAATTATATGTTAAAAAAAAACTATATAATTGCAAAACCAAAATAAAATGAAAAGAAATTAAACAAAAAAGGTGAGAGAGGACTGTGTGAGCCGGTGGCTTTGCTTGGTTTCCACTTTTATAAAATTGATTGAAATACAGAAGCTGACAAAGGAGCTTTGCCCACCGACACTCTAACAACCCACATTTTCCTTTTTATATACATACATATATATATATATATATATATATATAGATATATATTCCTATTTTTTTAAAAATTGCGCACCCTCTCGAAGAATTAGAAATGCATTATGGTTAAACTATAAAATTAACGATATTTAAATGAAATAAATATTAACAAAATACAGAAATCTAAGTAGTATCGTCATATAATAACTAATATATATGAATATTTAATAAACTATAAATATACAATGCATACCAAATTTATAATAAAACTAAGACAATATATGTATATATATACCTATAATTTACAAACATGATATTTTCTTAACGTATTTAAGACGACGAAGAGCATAGAAAGTTTGATCATATTATGATATGATGGCGGCCATGAAATGGACTTCACATCAAAGATCAAAACTATGGCTGTGAAAATGGAAGATTGGATGATGGGTGCGTCGTCTTACCATGTTGTGTGACCTAATTGCTTTTGCTACGCTTGATTGAAGTGTTGAAGGACCACAAATCAACACACCAATGTCTACCTTCCCCCAATTCTCTGCTACCGATTCAACAATTTCTGTTTATCAAATCCATAAAATCGTCTTATAAATATGAATTTCCAAATGTTTAATTCTTTAAAGAATCTTAAACACATTCACATGAGTGACAAATCGAAATGTTATAAAAGAACATACCGTCGAAATTTGGTCTGGTTCCATACTCGATAGTGGTGGAGTTAGCAAAGGCCTTGGGATTCAAATCCTTTTGTGCAAGAGTGTCTTTGGGAATGTCTTCACCTACTTTTTCAATGTCATTAACGTTGTTGTGAGTAGTTCTTTTACTTGAAATGTGTTCTTCCCAAAGGCTCCATAAACCAACCACAAGGCCTCCAAAGAGGACAACGCTAGCAACCATGCAGAGAAAAAAGAGAAGGCCTTTGTACCACCACTTCTTGATGTTAAAAGGGTTGATGTAATAGAAGTCCATCAAGCTCACTAAGATCACAAGGCCAACTGTCGAGGAAATAACATACAGCCCTGACCACACATTGTCACCGGTTCCAACCAACACAGACATGTTGGATCCCTTTGACAGTGGACATATTGAAGTCACCTTTGAGGGTTGGATTTCACCTTCCTGTTCATTGATTAAATATGCCCCAACACCATTTTTATAGATATGAAAAGATCCAAACGAACATTTTAATGGTGGATAATTGCAACAATCAAAGCTTATCGCTAGCAGATATTGTCCTATTTGAGTTTTCCCTTTCCGACTCTCCATCAAGGATTTTAAAACGCAGTCAAATGACATCACTCTAACTCACACAACTATGTTACAAATGATATCAGAGCTAGACACGGAACAGAGTGCCAACGAAGAGGCTGAGCCCCAAAGGGGTGGTGTGTCAACAAGGACGCTGAACCCCGAAGGAGGGTGGATTGGGGGACCCATATTGATTGGAGAAGAGAACGAGTGTCAGCGAGGACGCTGGGACCCAAAGGGGGTAGATTGTGAGATCCCACATCGGTTGGGGAGGAGAACGAAACAATAAGGTGTGGAAACCTTTCCCTAGCAAACGTGTTTTAAAAGCCTTGAAGGAAGTACGAAAAGAAAAGTCTAAAGATGACAATATCTGCTAACAGTGGATTTGTAACAGCAATGGCAAAGAACATACCGGTGGTGGTTGCGACTGTCTGGTAACGTAGATGGAGATGTCAATGTTGAGCTTATCAGCGAAGAATGGACAAATGGAGTCCACATTGAGGGTTGAGAGAAGAGGAAGCTCAGATGAGTTTTTGATTGCCCAAACAACCAAGATCTTCTTTGGTAAACATGGCTTCCCATCTCTTATACGATGGAGAATGTCACTCAAGATGGCTAGAAACGGCGAAATTCCAATTCCCCCTGCTACTAATATTAGATTTTCATACCTACAAACATCAAACAATCTCAAATTTACTCTCAAAAGCTTCAATCCTACTGCAAATGGTGATTTTGAGAGAGACTCACATCAAGTGATATGGAGATTCATGGCCATAAGGTCCCTCAACAGAAACAGTCATTACAGATTGATGCTTATCAGAAGAAATCTCTTTGGCTTTATCATTCAAGATCTTTCCCCGCAGCTTCTCTGTCCATTTCCCAAGCACTTTTATCAGAATCGCCAGCCGATCCTCCCCTTCCAGTGGACTCGATGACACACTGAACGGATGCCATTGCAGCAGCGACAGCTCTCTGACTTGCAGGAAGATGAAACTCAGCGCATTATATCGCAGGCCTAAATCAATCAGATAAAAGAAAAACATAGCGGAAATTAGGTCGCAGAACGAAGCACCAAAAGTCAATGGAAGAAATTAATCGATTTGGATCCGTACTTTTAGGTTTCGAGATGATCAATTCCACCGTTCCGCAGGGGAGCGCCTTGGCGGAAATTACATCCACGGTTCTTCTGGATTGAATAAATCTGAGGAAGCGATCGAGCATGAAGATGAAGATTCCCCCGGCGGCAATGCTGAAGACGAAATCGCCGACGTGCAGGGCCAAGAACAAGACGAACACGATGTATAATTGATGAGTGTAGAAGAACAATTCGAAGTTGATGGTTCTGAGTTTGGGAAGAGAGGTAATCCACATCAACAGCCCTGCCAAAAGGCTGATAACTCCAGGAAGATTCGCGATGCCGATGTCTTTCCACTCCAACAACTGCAATGCAAAAACACGAATCCAGAGCAGGAGGTGAGTGGTTGGATTAACTATAAAACCAAAGGAAACTGGAAACTGAATCAAGAATAACGAAGACTTACTTGCTCGATGCAACGACCTTGGATTAACCATTGAATGAGAAAAGCTAAGCCATGAAGAGTAAAAATGAGCATAGTGAGATGACCCAACCAAACATGGTACCTAGTGGCGTGCTCGAATGGAATGTCGATAAGGCGCAGAAGGACCGAACCCCTCGAAATTGGCAGAAACAGAAACCCTAAACAGAATAATCCCATTGAACCAAGCCTCAACCCCATAACTTCCAGCACCTCACAACTGCAACCAAAAAATTCAAAGATTAAATTGAATTCAACGTGATAGTCAAAATGAGCAGAACTGAAACGGATTCGTTGAATTACCTTATTTGTAAGAAAGTTAAATTCCGAGAGAAATCAGTGGCCAGCATTCGCAAGGTGTAGCTGTAAAAAGCCCAGAAAACATAGCCCAAGACCACCAAAATCCCAACCAACTCCGCCGCCGTAACTACCTCCAACGGCCCTTCCACCAGCACCGGCAAAGTCCAGAGCCTCCATCTCGGCTTCTCTTTCCCATTCTTCTTCTTCTTCCTCCTCCTGTTATTATATTTCAGATTCCTTTAAAACAGTAAGAGGACGAGGAAGAAGAGAGAGATTTGTTTGAAAATGACTAACTCGTAAGGCTGGTCGTCGCGAGAAATGATGAGATATACGGCGGCGAGGATAGCGATGGCCAGAAGTGGCGCACTGAAAGTCAGGAAGATGGCGCCTGCAAGTAATTGGATCAGCCATGGAGGATCCAAACCAAAAACAAACTAATTCTATTCATTTATCTGTATTCAAATAATATATAAAATAATTTTATTACTATTTTAGAGACATACTCATATAAATATATTTTAAAATTAGAGTAAAAATAACAAATTATTAAAAACGGTAAAAAGCAAAATTCATACATAAACTAAGCTTTAAATTTAAAGACATGAACAATAAAGAAGAGGAAAAAAAAAAAAAAAAAAGGAAGAGTTTAGAAGAAGGAACCTGTGATTCCAAAAAGGGTTTGTCCGGAGGCTCCAAACCATTCGCTAAACAGGTGAGAGGCGAAGGAAGATGGATACAGAAATATAACCACCATCCATACACTGAAGATCACCCACATCGCCAATTTCAGAACCCATTTCGTCGAAGAAACGATCGCCGATGTATTTCCGGTCGCCGGAAACTGGTCTTCGGGCGCCGGAAGAAGTGGGTGATGAGGAGAGTGTTCGTTGTCCATGGAAGCCTTGGGGTTGTAGAAGGAGGGGTGTTTGGCAGCCGGTAGGCTTAAAGACAGATTCTTTATAGAGAATGGGCTCCAGTGTTGGAGGAGAAACTATGTTGGTGGGACCATTATCATACGAAAGAGGTGAAATTTAGATGAAATTCCTCGAATTTTGTTATTTTTTTATTTTTTACGCATGGCTAGGAATAAAATGTTGGGAAAGGATAATTTGGTTGAAACAAAAATTGAGCCACAAAACACAAGGGATGGGAGATGAGAAATGAAAGGGCTGAATTTGTTTGTGTTGCACTTATTCAAGAAAATTAAAAATAAAAATACATTAAATAACTTGAAAACGAGAGAAAGGACGTGTGTGGAAATGCAATCAAACACGATTAGGGCCACCTCTTTTTATGAGGACAAACTAAGACAATATTTCAAAGTATTTTATATTTGAAAACAATTAGGCAAGAAGTTGTTTAAGTTCGAAGAACACTTAGCTTAAGTGATAACATGTCTATCTTTATCATTTAAAGGTCGGGGTTGCTAGCCTAGACCAATTTGTTTAACGTCCTACCAATTTCTAAAACCCATTTCTAAAACTCACTTATAAGTCTTTTTGGCTTGTTTACCACATTAACGTATACGTTTATGTATTATTTTGTGTGGCCTAACATTTTTACTTGTGAGCATTTTAAGGTTAGATTTTAGTAGAATATACATGGACCGAACTTAGTTCCAAATTTAGACCCCAAAAAAAAATTGTGAATAAGTGAACCAAACCCATCTCAATTTGATAGAGTTCAATCCTGGAAAACTTTACCAAGGGAAGAATTAGATTAGATGTAAGCTATAAGTTAACCCAATTCAATACAGCACGAAAACAGGTTTATGGGGGTGGCGATAGGGATATGCATTTGAGGAATAGCTTAGCATTTATTTATGATGAAAATGAAAGAAAAGGAGGGCGAGAGAGATAGAGACCCCTATGAATCTAATGGCCTTGAGTTTTGCATACAATTTTTTGTGGACATTAAGGGAACATGCATGCTGCTATAGGTTGCAAATAATACGACATACCCTTATTTCAATTCCATCTCAATCAAGCATAGTTAAATGAATAATAAAATACTTTTTAAATTAATACTGGTTGAATAAAGAGAAAAAAAAAAACAAAATTCTATTTTGTATATAGAATATAATACTAAATTTAATCTATAATGAAACTCTAAAAGCTCTATTTTGTATCAAGTAAGTTCGTGAATTTTAAAATCTCCATTAGACACAAATGAAAGTTTAGATTTAAGGAATTAAAAGATACGAGGAGCAAAAGAAATCACAACCACCCAGTTGTAAGTTCAGCTGAGGCTTACTTGAGAAACTGTGGCAATCTAGCATCTAAGAATGGTCGTAGGACAAGCCAACATGATGGATCAACACCGGACCACATCTAGATTCATGCTTGTCTTAGCGTCTAGATTATGTTCCAGTTTTGGTCCCACTTCTTAGCTTTTCAACTCGCCTAAGCTAGCTGCAACTCACCTGATAGCTTTTGGTCCATTTAGCCTACATTTTCCTTCCTAACTTATGGTCTCACTTGATTCAGCTAATCTTGGTTTTGAAGCTTTTGGTCCAATTGAATTAGGACTGAAATCACCTTAGAATTTAGAGAAAGAAAACAGAACTAACCCAGGAGATCAAATCAAGAATAGCAGAAAGATAAGAGTCTCCAACCATATTATGTGTCTACTTCTAAATAACCAAGAGCATAGCAGTTCTACAAGCTATAGATCTACTTTATTCATGACATGGATAAACTTATATATCAATATGCATTCAAATACTTTAGAAGGAATATTAAAAGGAATAAAAGCTACTATGATTATTTTACTCACTTCTTCAGAAAACCTTTGCTTCTAAGGCTCTCAACCGTATCTCGAATTGCAACTTCAAGAGGGGTGAAGATAAGTCCCAGATCAATCAACCTCTTGGCTGCATCTTTGCAGGCAACCAAGTGGTGTTGTGTTTCTCCCACAAATCTGCAGGGTATTCAAATCAGTGACTTTCGATCTCAGTAAGCAGAAAACAAGAGAATATATAGGATACATCTAATCCATATTCCTGAACTTTGTATCGTAATACTATACACTTAATATATGTAAGGTTATGCGTGTTACTCCAACTGTGTGATAGTGCAATTTATTAATGAAATGGTTCAGAATTAGAATAGCATATGCTATAGTTTAGAAAGCCAGTTTTGTTGAACTTATGTTCTGACCTGTGAACAGGAAATTCAGGGTAGATTTTCGAGACTTCGTCGGCAAAATCGGCAAATTGATAGATACCATTGGTGCAGAGATATCTACCAGAAGCAGTGGGAGACTCGAACAACAATACTTGTGCTTTTGCAATATCTTTGACATGCACAGCACCCAACCAGTGATACTCCTGACTGTCCTTTGATCCTTGGAGCAACTGCTGCAACACAGCACAGCTTGCATTCAAATTTGGTTGCAGAAGAGGACCAAGACATGTGGCAGGCAGGATGGAAACTACATCCAATCCATGCTTCTTTTCAAATTCCCATGCTGCTTTCTCTGCTAATGTTTTTGACACTGGATACCATTTCTGCATAATCATTCCAATAAGTAAACAGCAATATTAAAAGCCGAACTTTTATACATTAAGAGTTGATAAAGAATGAAATATGAACATGGATTTTCTGTGGAAGAATTTAATTTTCTGCTAATATAAGCGTAAAACTTCATATAATTGATAAGATTAACAATTAAATACAGATTACCTACACTGATAGAAAATTAAAAGCCAGTGAGAACTGCCTAATGAGAACTCTCGCCTGCATATCAGATCACTCCTATAATCAGCTGCCCATAACTAGAAATAGACTGGATAAAGATTCCTCAATCTTGAACAAAGTCTCATAAAACAGGTTGAGAATTGAAATCCAACTCTAAGCATGAAACTCTTACCCAAGCAAATAAAAGATATAACAGCCTAAGCCTACCGTTGACAAATATTGTCCTCTTTAGACTTTTCTATTCGGACTTTTCCTCAAGGTTTTTAAAACACGTCAGCTAGATAGATGTTTTCACACCCTTATAAAGAATGTTTCATTCTCCTCCTCTACCGATGTGGGATCTCACAAGAAGAACGGCTGACTAGTAAGTTTAGAGACTTCCGGAATTCTTTCAATTTATAGAAGGTTTCTCAAAACAGAGAGCCAAAATATTATAAGAACATCGTTGGCCTTTCATCTCATCATAGCTCTTGTATGGCCACCTTTATAGTTCTCCCCAAGTTCTTACGATTTTTTTTCTTTTTTCTCCTTAGGTTAGAGAGATCATATAATCAGCTGCCCAAACTTTTTAAACTATCATTTCCCATTATCTATTGTCTCTTATGTGATCTAGTAGGCTTTTTAAAATTTCTCAACAATGTATGGTGCCTAAACAGAATAGCTTAGTTTCCTTCAGAAGCTAAATAACTGGGTTTTTTACCCTCATAAGAGGAATGTTCTCTGGCAGGCTGAACTTCTTGCTATTATATAGCCCATATCAGAGATTACAATACTTGCATATTAAGAAATAAACATGAAACCTTATCGCCAAAATTCAATCATTACTTTACATTAATTTTCATCTCTATCTTCAATCATTACTTTACATTCATTGAATGCGGGAAAGATCTACAAAGGCATTCATCATCTACGTTCATAGGTAGCATCAATACTAACAGGGACAGGGACAGGGACAAGTTTTTGTACACAGAGAACACTAAAAGGCAATGACCCTCCTGTTCCTTCTAGCAAGCAATTAGCACGAGACTTCATCAAGCAGTATCAAATTAGGGAACAAGACAACCAAAAGCCAGGGAAAAATAACCTTTCGCGATTTGCAGTACTCCAGGTCTGTCCACGACGATTCATCAAATGGCTTGTCGGATGGCCAGCCAGGGTTGGGAACAAGAGCCGAAATAGAAGAAGTAAGAACAACGCGCCGGACCCCAAGTTTCTTCGCAGCCTCAAGAACATTAAGAGTGCCTTTCACTGCCGGCTCCACCAATTCTTTCTGTGGATCAATAGGATCCTCCAGCGTGCAGGGTGACGCAATGTGGAATACGCCCTTGCAGCCTTCTACAGCCCTGGCCACAGCCTCGCCGTCCGTTACGTTCACTTCGAAAATCCGAAGAGTGGAATTAGGGTTAGCGGAGGCCTGGAGATTGAACAAATGGGAAGCATCGGAGCCGGGGAAGATCGAGGCATGAATGGTAGTGTAACCGGCTTCCAACAGCGTACCGATGACCCAAGATCCGATGAACCCATTGGCTCCGGTCACACAAACTGGCTCTTTCACCTTGGTACTCGCCATGGGCTCCTATGATCCTGGAGTGGAAAAAGAATCGGAAAAATGAAGCAAAGAGAAAGAGGATGAGTGTTTATCCATTGAGAGATTTCAGCTGCACGAGATTTGTTTTTGAACTTCAGCATCCGAAGATCCGATATATAGTTTTAAAGTGATCTGAATTTTGTATTTTGTTTTCAAAATATCTATTACTTCCAAAATTACATTAATATTTTTATTTTATCTTTTTTAATCATTTGAGGTTACTTTTTGAAAGGGAAAAAATTAATGTGAAAATAATTGCATATACTAAAAAAAATAAGGTGGAGTGTCTTATCAGGTTAACACTATTCATATGACTCATTTTATTATTGTTATAAATCACTTGATCCAAATCATTAATGTAAAGACATAAATGGAAATAACTAGACCACGAAATATTTAATCTCTTTTTATAAATATGTTAATTGAAAAGATTAAAGATCTTATCGTCCTGATTCTATCGTGACTAGATAAGTGGGTTAGGTGAACTCATATCGTGAGTCTGTCTGAAGAGTCTAAATTCCACACTTTTAGATACATTAAGTGACCAGCAAAACCTAAGGTCCCTTGTGCCACTTTCAATCAAATGTGTAAATTTGGCCATGGTCTAATAGCATTATATATTAAATTAAAGCAACAATTTATGATCTATTATTGTATATCATATCATGATACATGAGTTCGTACCTTTTTCTTATATAAACTTAATCTTATACATCTAGTAGGATCAGTTGACCACGGTAGTTTTTCATGTAGACATTTGAGAACCACGTAATGGACACGTTGGAGAGGATCCTTAGAGACAATCATCGAGCTCACCAAGCCAATGAGACATATTTAAGGAGCAATGAATCAAAGAGGCCCATCGAGCTCAAGAACCAACCTCACGCACACGTTACACCAACTTTGCTTAATTCTCACTACCATATCTGATAAGATAAGAGAGGAGTAAGATTCGGATTACCTTGTTGATCGAATATCTCAAAGCAAGAACATTGTTTGAGATTCGAATCACTCCACAAACAAGATCGATCATGTCTAACTTAAATGATTCTTGTTGATTAAATATCTCAAGGCAAGAACACTTGTTTGAAATTCGAATCACTCCATGATTCCACATGCAACCTAAACTACATAGAATTTCAAAGAAACTTAGTCATTGGCTAAAGAAAAGCGCTCCTACAAATGCGACATACATGGCTTTATATAGCCTCAAAATGAAACTATACATTCATACTTAATGGTCATAATTAACTAATTGAAACCTAACGATAAATAAAAAGTCTTAAAATACATTAATGAGCTAAATTGTAATCTACCCAAAATTTTAACATGAAACTTCATTTTTCTTCCGTGTGGCATGAATTGAAATATGTTTTGATAATTTCAACAATATTTTATTCACATATTTATTGAAGTATATTGTATGATTGATGTCTATTGATTCATATCAATATCAAGACTAGACCTACCATAAGATAGTGAAGAATGCTATATATCAAGACACATCCCACTAGCATCGTGCACAATACCACGCTAGTAAGGTCATCCCAACACCCTAATTTGTCTCCCCTTAGCCAAAAGACGCACATACACTCAATACCATAATTGACATCGACTCAAACTCGTAAACTCGTAATACGTATGTAGTCATTAAAACAAAGTTTAGAGTTCATAAGAAGACATTAATTAATTCATAGAAAGCATATATTATATACAAATTTGTAGGCAGTATCGAAGTAGGGCTGCAAGCCTGCAATTGCGATGAAAATGGGTTATAAAAGTCCTCAAAAAAGAAAGAAGAAGGCTGCCTTAACAAAACTGGGACCTCTAATAACTACTCTCTCTACATTTACACACAATAACTACAATGTTCATAATAATGCTATTTATTTTGTAACCCTAAAATCTTTTAGCTCTCTCAAATTAATTATTCTGCCAACTTTTTCTCTCAATTTTTTTCAATGCCTTTGCATGGTGCCTCAATTTTAGTAATAAATATGACCGTACGTTTTGCCCCAACTCACACACCTATCCTAATGCCTACATTGCAGCCCTTAAAGAGAGACCTTAAATTCTTATATAACATATAAATTCTCTGAGCTAGACATAAACATAATAAGAGGTCAAATGTTTGAATCTCTACTATAATATATGCTCTAATATATAGTAGAACTTAAAATAAAAAAATCTCGAAAGAGATTAAGAATATAGAGATCCAGAGTCTTATAGAAACTTTGGTGACTAATTTTGAAGAGATCAAGAAGATTGTAGAAAGAAGACAATCTATTGATATTGATATTGAGATCTAATATGACTTCTACAAGAACAAGATCCCCTTTCAATCTATTACGAATATAAAACGTTCTAACTAGTTATTTAAAAATCTAAAGAAAACCCTTCTACGCATAATTATATATATATATAATTGACAACAAGAAACAATAGTAAACTAACTTATAATTAGTCATATATATTTATGTTCATGAGCTTCATCGCATGTAGCTGCATAATAAACAAAAAAAGAAATGGAAATTGAAATTGAAGTAGGTTGAGCTAGGAGGCGTTATTCTTCAATCGTTATGATGAGTAGAAGCGTATCGATATTGCCAACCTGATTATAGTGTAACTGGTTAAAATTTGAGACTTCTTGTCGAGAATTTACTTGAACGGATTGACTCCATCTGGGATTGGATTCCACTCCCACAATCTATCGGGGAACACAACCGGTAGCTGCGGCGGTGGTGGTAGCGTCGGCTGGTAATACGGCGTTGGTAGAGAGTTTATGAGGGTGGTGGGAGTAGATGGCGGCGGTTGTTGTTGAAAGTGAATGAGTTTTTGTAGGTCGTCAAGAGAATTATTGGAAGAAGGAGAGAAGAAAGGGGTGTAAGAAGAAGTGGCAGCCATGTTGATCAATGGAGTTGAGGTAAAAGGGTTTTGTTTCGAGAGGCCGAGGACGGTGGTTACTTCTTCACAAGAGCTCGTAGCGGAGGCGTCGGCTGCGGTGGTTTCAACGGTGGTGCCAATTTGAAGATGGTGATGGAATTGAGGCTCGAATCTCTGGAACTTGTCTGTAGACGATGAGGAAGTTTGATGAAGATTCTTCGGTGTCGACGAGCTTATCAGTCTCGAAGACGACGACGCTCTCGATGGGAGAGAACGAGGGAGCGACGGGTNATCTTCAACGCCAGCTCTTTTGTAAACACGACATAGCGAAATCTCGGTCTGTGTGACATCAAAAACAAGAAAACAAAATTGTTCATAAGCTGTCCCTCTGAAAACTTGGGGGACAATTTAAAGCGGATCACGCAGTTCGTGACAAAACATTTAAACAAACATAAAAAAGTACTGTCAGAGACTGATCAGTGATATGGCAGTACGAAGCAAACAAGAAATTCATAAATTCCCCTCTGCAAATTAATGATTAGATTAATCCAAATTAATCAAACCCTAATCAAACACACAATTATTTGATTAAGCTCAAAATAGGAACCAACCTTCTGATACCGCTCGGTCTCATGATGCGGCAACCGATACTCATTCATAATCCAACTCGTACGGATACCCTTTGGAGCCTTCCCGGAGTAGAAAACTAGGGTTTTCTTAAGGCCAATGGACCGAAAATCCTCGGTTCGAATCATCCGATCGGCCCCGGTGGCCTTCCAGTAACCGGAGGTCGTAACTCGATTGGGGCGGTCCCCGTTTCGGTACTTCCGATCTCGAGGGACGTAGAAGAACCACTCCTTCTCGCCAATGGCAGCCAAGGCTAGACATAAATAAGAATCCAAAAGATTGAATGAATTAAAGAGAAATTGAGGAATAGGGTTTAGAGTTAAATGAAAAGAATATAAGAATACCAGGAAGCTCCCAAGGGTCGTAGCGATATAGATCAAGGAAAGTAATGAGTTCAACATTAAATCGTTTGCCTTCGACCTTACGGCGAAGGTAGAACTCGACAAGTTCTTCTTCGGTGGGGTGGAAGCGGAAGCCTGGCATAACAACGTCGTGTTCGTGTTGATCGTCACTGCAATTGTTGTTGTCGTCGTTGTTGTTTTTGTCGCGGGTGTTGGAGCTGCTAATTTCTTCGTGGCTCATCGTGGATGAACTGCTAGCTGCAGCTGCAATTGCCATAAAATTTGTGCTGAAACCTATAATTGAATCAAACTCTCTCTCTATTTCTCTTCCTTCTTTGTTTTAAATTGATTTTTCTGTGTGTGGGTATGGCTGTATGTGGCCGTAATTATATATACATATATATATATATATATTACCGATGGAAGAGAGAGCAAGTGGGATGAACAGAAAGATAAGAAAGATGGTGAAAATTTATATATATGTCGTACCAATCGAAAAGTTTCTCTCTCTCTCTCTCTTTAACACAAAACATGGGGTCTTAATATTTTTTTTATTTTTTTTATTTTTTTTATTTTTTTGAGAGAGACCCAAAAGAAAATGGAAGAAATGGGGAAAAGGGTAAGTTTTTTTATGGCTGAATTTGTTAGTCCCTTAATTGTAACCAATTTTTAAAATCCTAATTTTTATTTGAAATTACTTTTTAGTCCAATAGTAATATAGAAAGTATTATATAATCATACCGTTTCGTTTAAGTCATACATCAGCTAATTTTTATTAATTTTACTTCTAATTATGCATAAACCCGACCCATTTGAAAATATGATGGATTGAATTTTGTTTATTAATTTGTTTTTAATTACTTCTTAAAAAAAATAGAGTGAAAAGTGGTTTTGAAAATGATAAAAAAAAAAAAAAAAAAAAATAGTATTGTGGAAGTTAACGAGGGAGAGGTGAGGTGTGGGTTTAAGGTGAGAAAATGACGTTTCAGGCTGAGGACAGGGTGGGCATAGCCCATTAGCGCAGCGGTGCGCCTCTTTGGATCTTTCTTCCGCGCCTTCAACTTTAATTTATATATATATATATATATTTTTTTTTTTTTTTAAACCCATAAATTATTATCTTTCCTTTTTTGGTTTTAACTAATTAATAAATTCAATCTTAATAAACATACTTTTAAGTGTGGGCACTTACTCTTTTTTCTATTTGTTTAATGAAGAATTGTGGTAAATAACTTAAAAACACATCAATATCAATATCTTCTTATTATTATCGAACTACATTTCGACAATAAATTACTCCTCCTATACTACAGCACTATGACTTCAAAACAATTTAAAAACAAAGTTAGGACGGACTTGGAGAATCCGACACCTTAAAGCACACGTTTAACTCAATAGTTTTATAATTGACCCATAAAAAAAAAATGTGCACCTTATTGGTATAAATAGTAACGTTTCTAAGTAAATTTTATATTAGAATCGCTCTCATTTAGATGTAGTCTTAATTGATTCCTGTGTCTATCCTTAAAATAAATAAATAAGGATTTTAAATAAGTTTAGTGCTCGAGTACTGTTGACAATAAATTTAGTATATAAACTACATATCAAATATTAATCGCTATGCGTGTTGATATAATAATGAAATAAAATAAAAATAAAAGATTATATTTGCAAAATTTGAAAGATATTGGTAGATTACAAATATAGTATTTGTTTTTTGGAGCTATTCTTACATTTGGTTCATGAAATTATGTATGGTTTGTGGGACGCACACAGCTACATTAGCTTACATATAATTATTTATTTTTTATTTATTTAAAAAAAAATAAAAATTAGAGAGAGTCAAGAGGAACCCGTGACTGAGTTCTCTTCTTCATATTGATTGAAGATCACAATTTTACAACTAAGTTTTAGCTAATTTATCCTCTACTCTTTCTCTCTCCACTCATTTTCCATTAAATGATTAATGGTTTGATTAGGGTTAATTAATTATTTATTTATTTAATTACACCTTAATTCATCAACTTCTTACATATTATTGGTGTGAATAATTGGCAAAATAAGAAAATTATAATATATGATTTCAAAATAAATTAAATATTTTAATTAATAAATTTATCACTAATAGAAATATAGTTCAATTATAATCAATTATTTAAATTCCCTATTTTTTAGTTTAAGAAAAATCCAAAAAAAAAAGAACGCTAATACTTTCGAGAAACCTCATTTTGACTTTTAATTTGTTTTTATGTCTTGATTTCCTTGCATTCATATACTATTAATTACAAAATATTTACTCATTAAACCACATTTAATCCACATATCTAATTTCCAACGATAATCTCAATTTATTTTTTTTATTTTTAGAAAATAAAATAAAATTAATATTTTAATGATTAAATGAATTGATAGTCTATTCTGTAATTAAATGAATTGATAGTCTATTCTGTAATCATATTCAAGTTGATAATAAAATCGTTTTCCTTCATTTATAACAGTTAAAATTAATATAGTGGTTAGAATGGAGATAATTAGGTAAAAATTTCACCCACCTCTCACTTAATTGAATTGAATTTTCATGTTAGATTTGATTTAATATTATTTAAACCCTAATTTGTACAAAATTAAAATAAAATTATGGTACGTGAGCTGTCAAAGATTGGGAAATGGTGAGAAATCCTATAAGCTAAGGCTAGCAACCTAAATTATATAAAAATTAAGTCATTAAATCATACCATTTAGAATACTAATTTGACTTATATGACTAAATATTAATCTAATCTATACATTCTTTTAATTATAATTTTTTAAAACTCGTTAATAATCCTTCGTTGGTTTGATTATATAAAGCAAAATAGATTTAAAATGAATGAATGAAGATTCATGAATCTTGTTTTTGTACAAATTTGACCGACCCTTCTATCTGTTTATAAGTAAATGAATTTTGTGACGACTTAACAATAAAAACAAAAAGGAAGAAAAAGGTCTCTTTTTAGATTAGTTGAAAATTTATTAATTTCTTAATCAATCAATTAATTAAACAATTCTTTTTTCCTCACAATTTTTGTTTTTTTAAGGCATTATTGGAGAGGAAAATAAAGCCTTTTAGATGGAAAAATAAATAGTAAAAAAATAAAAAAGACAAAATTTAAGGTGGGACAAATCACCGACCAATCCGAGAAGGAGGAGGAGGTCTGTCTGTTTTATTTATTTTTTTTTTTAATTTTTTTTTTAATTTTTTTTGCATGGCTATGATTTTATCCTGGTATTGTCATACTATGCCATTCATGTTTTATAGACTAAAAAAAAAAAAAAGGTTAAGAATGTTAATATGAAATCCCACGTCGATTAAAAAGAAGAATGAAACATTCTTATAAAGGTGTTTAAACTTCTTTCGAGTAGATACATTTTAAAATCGTGACGCTAATGACAATATGTAACGAGCCAAAACAGACAATATCTACTAGTGTTAAACAAAATAATTGTTATACAATTTCATAAGAAAATTTTAAAATTTCTGTCAATCATCCTCTAATCTAATTTTGTTTTATAGATGCATATTAAGACGATGATTTCCTACCCATTTTATTTTAATTTTTCTTTTTTGTTCATAACATTACAAAATTTATCTTTTTTTCTTTTAATCAGACAGCATCAAATCTTTCCTTTTTTTCAACTATTGGTTTTCTTCGACTTAAAAATTAATATCCTAATCTTATGATAATTTCAACTTGTCATCATACTAGATTGTCTTTGTCAAGAAAGGAATTTGATTTTTTTTTTTTTTTTTTTTTTTTTTTTTTTTTTTTTTTTTTTTGAAATTTTAAGTTAGCTNCTAAAGTCAAAATATATTATTTTTTAAGTTTTAATTCACTCATTTTCATTAAATTTTAGTTAAAATTCAACCAAATAAAAATAAGAAGAAAAAAAAAAGAAAAGAAAAGAAAGAAGGCCTATTTACATATTTTTCCTGAATTTAGTAATAAAAAGTTAAAAATTATGAACTAAATTATTTTCACTAATTACTTTATTTATAGCTTCAATAAATATACAATTACACTAATTAGTATATTTACACCCAAAAAAATTCAAATTTTATTGGTTATATACTTTTAATTTTATTAAATGTTATAATTTCTAACCTAATATTTCAAATTAAAGAAAGAGTTTATCTTGTTTTTAATAAAAAAAAAAAAAAAAAAAAAAAAAAAAAAAAAAAAAAAAAAAAAAAAAAAAAAAAAAAAAAAAAAAAAAAAAAAAAAGCAGCCCCATGATTATATATTGAATATCCATCTTGTCTTGGTTCATTTAAGTTCAAGAATGGAGTTGGCTAATAAATATTATACACCAAACTAAAATTGATAGAATGTGTATACAATAACTGAACGAACGACTTTTAAGCATTGTCATACACAAATAATTTAAGTGACATTTGTCTTACGTGGAGTTGAAACGTACAATCATATGTATGTATGTGTTCGATAAATATGAATGAGTTGCGAGTGGGGATTTTAAGACATAGGCTCTGCAATCACAAACAGGTAAATTGATACAGAACTTGATGAAGCACATCGACCACTGCTTGTCCCTCGTGTTCTATCTCGATGGGTGGTTTTTTATAAATCTCGAACTCGAACTCTTAAGACTTTCGGGTTATGTATAATTCACTTTGTTCTCGATCATGCTACACAAATCTAGACTCTCCGGCCTACAAAATTCCATAGAATTGGATTCTCGACACATGTTTATAAATTGAGAGTGGACAAAAAAAACTTAAAAGAGGGATGGAAGAAAGTGATGGTTAATTGCCCTATTCGACAAGTAACTGAAGCGAAGGGGAGAGGTTAGAGAGGAAATCTCAACTCAATATCTCAGGTTGAATGTTTGAAATATTTAAGAATCCAAATGTTGTCGTCATGTCGTGTCATATTCTCTTTTAGTTAAATCCTTTTTTCCCCCTAAAAAACTTAATTACCCAAAAGTACTATAAATAATATCTAAAGATCAAAACTTTTAGACACCCAAATTAAAAAAAACAATTCTTTTCTTTCACCTCCCCTCAAACAAAAGTTGAAATTTTTAATCTTAGTATCACTAACTTCGAATCTGACCCATTTTTCATCGAGTGTAATTGAAAGTAAAGATTCTAACTTTTATCTGCTTAGTCGAAAATATAACGTTTTAACCCGTTGAGAATCGACTACCCATTGATCTTTGAGACGATAATTTGTGTTTTATCCACTAAGTTATGTTCAAATTAGTTTTGTGACTTGTATGATTACATTTTTTTTTAGTATATCGATGCACACATATGATTGAAAGTCCATGATTTGGTCTTAGGAGAAATTAAACCATGG